ATTATATTATATTATATTATATTATATTATATTATATTATATTATATATATTAAGCCATTTCTAACTGTGCATACAGTACTAAAGTAAGTTAGCAAAAAAAAAAAAAGTAAACAAAAGTACTCTACCAGGGCATGGTGCCACACGCCTTTAATCCCTGCACTCAGGAGGCAGAGACAGGTGGATCTCTGTGAGTTCAAGACCAGCCTGGTTTACAAAACTAGTGCAGGAAATCCAGGGCTATTACACAGAGAAACTCTGTCTCAAAAAAGAAAAACAACAACCACAAAAATTACTCTGTACATTTTCAAGGAAAAAAAAATTGAGAATGGAAATTAGCTTGAACCTACGCTGACAGCATTGGTGAGAGATCTGCATTAGTAAAATCTAATGAGGCTATGATGCCCCACACTGCATTTACTGACAAATCTCAGAGCATCAGAGACGGCAAAGCATATCAGGACAGTTGAAAGATGAACAAAAATACCTGTTGAGTGGGTGAATTGGCTTTGTTAGTTAAGGATTTCAATAACTCTAGATCCAGAGAACCCACCCAAAAATTAATATGGTGGTGGTAGAGTGGGGGAAGGAGAAGGTAGTCAATGGTGAAAGGATGACAAAGTTGAAAGCAAGCAATGAACTGGAAGAGAAACCATTATTAAGTAATTAATGTTTAGCCTGAGACAATAAGAATATTTACCAAAGGTGAAAATTATTACTTATGAGCTTCCAGTTTTTACTTGTAAGATGAAGCAGTGGAAGAAAACATAGGTACTATGTTTTCTAAGCAGAGCAAAAATGGGGCAATGATAGCCCAGAGGGGGAAACACACACCATTGTGTTCACCTGGATGATACATTTGCTCATATTCAAAAGCAGCTGGATGATCTAGTGGCGAGTGTAGCTGCCTTCCAAAAGAAGTTGATACTTTCTGCCTACATATTGCTAAAAAGGATTTGGCACCAGTTTCTTTTTCCTTGTAAGATTTTGAAATGTGCTTACTATCTGAAGTCTTATGGAGTAGCTACACTCTCAAGCACACAGATGTCATTTAGAGAGGAAGTTCTCTAATAAAATGCCTCCCTCTTTCAGATCCTGCAATCAGCAAAAGGAGGCTCACTAATGCCCTTTATTAGATGAAGTGTTATCAAGCCCCACATTAGTAAATGGAATAAGTGGAAGGGTGCAGCTGGCTGACAATGCAAGCATTGGTCTCCTGTGTATGTGTGTGCTTATGTGTTTGTGTGTGTGTTCAAGTTAAAAGATGGCAGAGTTCTTCTAAAAATAAGAGTTCTATCTCAAATACAAATTTCTATCCTGGCTTTGTGAAGAGTATATTAATAACAGTTTCTATTTTAAAAATGAGCACTAATTAATAATACATTGAGTATTCATTAATAACATATACATATATCTGTTAAGACGAGTTAAAAAGCAAAACTTTGGGTTCAAGCCAGTGAATGGCATTAACTGAAAAGGTAGTTTTTATTGCACATGGGATCACAGAACTTGACTTTCTTAGTCATAGTTAATTTGTCAAAACATTTTTTCTTAGTCTTGATTGACTACAAGATCTGGAGGGAAATTCACATTCATTTGTTAGTTCTCTGGCCTCATTCTTTTTCATGCCCTATTACACATGTTACTCCAATACAGAAAAAGCACGTGTAAGTTTAGAAATCTCTCCCACCGCCTATGCCCCTAAATGCCCTCCCTTCCAAATATTCCTTGAGAAGCAAGTCATTGCCATGACAACCATAAGATGAGGTTTGAAGGGCACTTGGGGGCACACTGTAAAAGTTAATACCAGTTTGTGTTTAACAAGGTCAGGGAGACACAGACAATGGCTCATACTTGGTAATGAGACACCACTGAGCTATTTAGAATCATCTGTCCACATCAAACATAACCAGAATATCACCTCAAAAAAAAAAAAAAAAAAAAAAAAAAACTCAGAGTGCTTTATGCAGGGCTAATCCATCATTTCTCTTCTGTAGCCAACTCCCTCTACGGTCACTAGTAATTAAATCAAAAGATCATATGTAATAGAAAAAAGGAGAATTAAGGACTTGCCTTGCCTGACAAACTTTAATGTGAAACCTTCATCTATGCTTCTCCCTGCCCTCTGCTCCACAAAGGGTTAGCATGTTCTAAGCAATACTAGTATGCCTTCACACCTTGTGTCCTTCCTGTCAGGCAGGTGATGAAGGTGGATTCCTAAGGAGTTGTGAGGACCTTCTCAGTATCTTTCATACATCTGCTTCCAGAAACAGGAGCATTGTGGACACAACTAGCAACGGCAGCTCAGGTGTAGTAGAAATCTTTTGTGTAACTCAGAGCTAGAGACGGCTTTCTTCAATGTATGCGAAACAATACTTTTCTCACACTGACTCCGGTCTAGAAACCGAGAGATAGGAATTATCATGCCTTTAAAAAGTCCATGTGGGATAAGGTTCATTCTTTCTTTGTCTCTACCTGACTGACCACCTGGCCAGGAAGCTTTTAAAATAAGAAGGAGAATCCTTTGTTCTCTCAGGTTCCATTTAAGGGAAAGTGGGTCGAAGGGCTTCCCCAGGGAAAGAAAATGAGCTCTGGAGCCAAATGCAGGAGGGGAAGAGATTTCATGCCCACTATTATTCTCATCCTCCCAAATAAGAGAATTAATTGTTTGGCGGGCTAATGGTTAAGAAAGGTGGGGGTGCACCCAGGTAGACCCATCCCTAAGACCATATCTAATTCCCTAGTGTGGCTCGGGCCATCCTGCAGGCTGGGTGGGGGTGGGGTGGGGTAGGGGTGTTGGGAACTCCCTCCAGCCATGGGTAACACAGCCCGGACTGCATGCATTCTCACGCCCCAGAACTGAAGTCCCAGCCCAAGTGCGAAGTTGGGCGTATAGACCTGAAAAGCAGAGTAAGCGCCATTCAAAGCAGCAAGTTACAGTACCTTGAGAAGTCTGACAGATGGGAGAAAGGCTGCGTGGCATAGCTTCCGGATGGTCCAATTTAGGGGTCGAGAAGCATCAGTCTGATTCATGACCCCTTCCAAATTCCACCGGGAAGACAAGAAATTGCAAATCTGGGCAGTGCCTAAAAAACAAACGGTCCCCCACGGCCCTGGCAGCCCATGGTCATCTCCACACCTGCAAATTCCATTAGGGCAGAGGCTTCCTGGAACTTGGGAGTCTAGTCAAGTGGCGTTTCCTGAGCCCCTGAACCTTCTTAAGAAAGCCACCTCCCCTCTCCCTGCAGCCGTGCTCATGCATACCAAATGTGGCCGAATGGAGGCACACTGCCTGCTGCTTCGGGGAGGGGATGCTTGATTTCGAAGGAGAGGGACAGCCTGCACAAAACAGCCTGTGGTCGACTCAGAGGAGCCTGCTCCAGAATGCGCGCTCCCTCTCCTGCACTCCTCCCAGCAAACGCAGGTCAGGCGTTGGGGGGGAACCTGGGCCATTTGCTTTGCTCTCTTTTTTTATTTTTTCTTTTTTTTTTTGGGGGGGGAGGGACAATTGGGAAGGGGGAGTCAGGAGGAGAGCAAAAAAGAAGGAAAATGAAGCCAAAAGGAGAACTTGTACTTTCTTGCACAAAGCATCTTTGAGGGGCTGGAAACTGGCTCAGGGGGAGGGGCTAGGGCACCAGGAGGGAGAAGGGATGCCTCAGAATGATAAGATAAATGCTTCCTTTTTGATTTGTGTGACATAATAAATTGAAAGCTATCGTAAAATGGATCTATAGTAAAAAGGAGATTCCTGCTGGGTTCTGAGGTCTTTTATTAGCTGTGACTGACAAGTCTTCTCCCTGATCCAAGCCGGGTGGAGAGAGATGATAGATGGTCAGAGGCTGAGTCAAACTCGCGCACACTCACACGCGCACGCCCGCGCGCGCACGCACACACTGGGAACTATTCCTGTCATAGAAAGCTGTGCGGAAAAAAAAAAAAAATTGTGGCTTACCTTTTTAGTAATAGTAGTTTCTAAATTGGGGGATATCCCTGTAAGATAGAGCTTCTCTAAGAGAAAGTTTAACCCTTAAAGTGCCGTGTGGGTTACTGCCCACTAAACATGGTTTCCTCAAGTGAGTATTTCCCCTCTTCACATTAATTTTCTAAGCAGGCTTTAAGAAAGTGTAGCTGCATTGGGACTACACAATTTTTTAAGCTCCCATGGTGAAAGAGACTAAAATGGAACTTTTCCATTTCTAAGTGAAATTGGCTAATTTCACTTAGAGAATGGAATCTCGGGAGGGCTGGGAGGGTTGATATGCCACACCCCTTACTTGGACCACCCACTCTCTCCAGGCATCAAACTTCAGCGGTAATACTGACTGAAGACTCTGTCCTGGAGAATCCCCACACCCTCGCCCTTCAAGCCTTCCCAGGGTACTTAAAATTTCCACCTATTTTCTTCTGAGTGACTGAAGAGATTTTCCATTTTTAATTAACCAGAAGAAATGGGTAACAACCCCCCCCCCCTTCCCATTCCCATGCCTACTGGGAGAAAATCCAGGGTAGTTAGAACAGATGTGAGACAAGGCTGCATTTTAGGATCAAGAACAAAGAATGTAACAAACGCCTGGTACCTGTGTCACTGCACCGTTTCCTAAAGTGCTCAGAGGCGGAGACTCAGAGTATTACAGAACCGCTGATTTGAACATAAAAATGCATGCATCCGATTAATTTCTATTAAAGCCGTATTAACTTAAGAGAACTCACAGGGTTCATTTCTCTGTCACCATCCTATTTCCACCACAGGAAGAAGGACATTTCAAAGTGTTAACAGCTGGGCTGTAGATACCTAAGGCATGGACACTTTACTCCACGTAAATTCATACTAATGGCGGTGCTCCAAAGAAGATGCCATGGTCATATCCCTATGTCACAGATTAAGCAAGTGAAGTCCAGAGAAATTAATCGTGTCTAGTACAGACAGCAAAACCGGAACCTGAATTAGAGTCATTTTACTGAGCTGTAAAGATACACTTTCTGTTCTGTTTCTTTCATCATTTGAGATGACAATAAAACTTCGACCTCCATTTTTCTGGTCCTATAATCTGACATAAGAATTGCAAACAAAACAAAATGAGGTGGAATGAGAGCTTAGTATGTCTCCCACATGTGGCATGTCACTGAGGTTTGTTTTATCCCTAAGTCCTAAAATCAGGTTTCAGAGGCCACAGTGAAATCCTGACCCTGGCCTTGCGCAATTTTCTTATCTCCTCTGTGCACTGGAGTCTTTTATCTCGGAGGTGGAGGAAACCATACAACAACTACAGATTCAGGTGTGAAACCAAATGAGTTCCAAGCAACAGGGAGGAATGGAATGCAGTGCTTGGCATATCCCAGGCCCCTCCCTCCATGATTCATCTTCTAGGTAGCTTGTTCCCATCGGACGCTGGGAACCCACCGACGTTTCTCATTACGGGTCCTTTCTGTGTGTTTGCAGTACCAGGTGATGAGATCAAGCAAGACAAATTAAAGCTGGATGCTTTCTCTGAGTTATGAAGTTTAATAAATGAAGTAGACTGCAAAAACAGTGAGGCTTTCCCCGGGCTTTTCCTACAGAATGGTAGTCAACAGATGGCAAAATACTGCCTTAAGCGTGCCCACCAGGGTCCAGCAATTCTTGGCTACTAAAGACCCTTTAGTGGTTTCTTTAATTGTGAGAAGTCAGCTGCTGGGGAAGGCAAGAATATTACAGTTGCCTACCCTTACCCCTCACCGTTCTGAAGTATTAAGAACACCATGAAAATGAAGGCATCCTTTTAAAACCACAGCCTTTGATCCTCTTAGCTCCTTTAATTTTTAAGACTAACTCTGGTCAGAAACATAGTTAGGGGTTGTGGAAATGAGGAAGCAGGAGGTGTCACTTCCTCTCTAGTGGTAATTAGAAGGATGAGCACAAAACCTTCAGGGAGTGGATTTAGAGGCTACACAGCAGAGATAAAGATCAAAAGGATGAATGGTTTAAAGAGACAACCTCCCATCACTGGAGTAATTTGTGCCAGGATTATTTGCTGTCAAATATCTAAAGAGGGGGTTTTCGGGACCCTCCTTCTCATTCAGAAGAATTTTTTTTTAATTCATAATGAATGAGTTCTGCCATGTTTTAATAGAGGCCCCTAAGAGCGGAAAACAAAACAAAAAATACAGAAAGTAGCTCGTGTCTCACACATCCACCAGGCTCATTTTAAAAGTTATTATTGTGAGTGTTTACAAATCTTAATGATTAGATTACTTTTTAGTATTCCTAAAAATAGCAAACCAGGTGTGTTAAATTTCTGTGTTCTAAAGTGTGTCTTTGAACATATTTTCATTCTCTTTTATACTATGTAAGCCCTCTTCCCATTGCTCAGTCTCTGTGCAGTTACTAAGACATAACAATAGATTATATTTTATCCTTCAAGACCATGTTACCTTGTCAGGAAACCCAAGACAGTTTGATAGAACGTTATATCATACTCAGCCTTCTTGATAGCTCTCTAATATAGAGGGACTAATTTGGAAACTGAAGGACACAAGGAAATGCATGGTGAACAGGCAGATCAGAATGTTTGAAGCCCTCCTCCTCAAATGCATTGGATGAACCACACTGTCCTAGTTTGCTTTCTATTTCTGTGATAAACACCATGACCAAAGCGACTCGGGAAGGAAAGGGTTTATTTGGTTTACAGGTTATGGTCCTTCACGAACGGAAACTAAGTCAGGAAGTCAAGGCAGTAACCTGGAGGCAGGACCTGAAGCAGAGGCCCAGAGGAGCTCTGCTTATTGGCTTGCTCAACCTGCTTTCTTATACAATTCAGAACCATCTGCTACATACAGTGAGCTAGGGATCATTGATTAAGAAAATGCCATACAGGCATGCCCAAAGGCCAATGTAATGGAGGTAATTCCTCAACTGAAGTTCTCTCTTTCCAGGTACCCAGTTTGTATTAATGTGACAAAAACAAATCAGCACACACACTGTGGTGGTTTGAATAAGAATGACCTCCACAGGCTCATATGTTTGAGTATTGGCCCCCATTTAGGTGAAATGTTTGGGAAAGATTAGGTGTGTCCTTAATGGAAGAACTATGTCACTGGGCATGGACTTTGAGGTTTCTCTCTCTGCCTTAACGTTTGTGGACATGATGCAAAAAGCTCTCAGCTACTGCTCCAGCACCATGCCTGCCTGCCATGTTAGTCATGGACTCTAACCAATCTTCTGAAACTATAACACCAATAAAATATTCTATAAGTATCATTGGTCATGGTGTGTCTTTTCAGCAAAAGAAAAGTAACTAAGACAGAAGTTGTTAGTAACAAGGAGTAACTGGCCTGATCATGCTGTTTTTGCAAGAATGTGGAAGACTTTGGGACTTTGGGTTAGGAAAGCATTTGAGTGTTACAGGCAGGGCTTAATGGGCAGTACTAGGAGGTGCTTGGAAGATAATAAACTTTTCCACTATAAGTTGCCTTGGTTATGGTATATCTTCACAGCAAAAGAAAGCAAGAAGACACACATCCAGAAAAAATGTTCTGAAGTATTTTTTTTTTTAATTTTACCACTGGTATCATTGAACATATGAGCATTAGTTGGATGTATATTTCAGGAGCTTTTTTTTTAGTATGGTCTGCAAAGGGCTGATGATATTCCAACATTCAGGAGAAGTATGGAAACCAAACAGTGTTACCTCTGTATGTATCTTCCTCCACCTCAAACTTCTGTAGTAGTTTGTAGTAGTTTGTAGTAGTTCCTTCCTTATACTGCTCATAACTCATAGCTGTCTCTTTTCTTTTTTAAAAGTACATTTTTATTTATGTGAATGTGTTTGTGTAAGTATAATCTCTCTCTCTCTCTCTCTCTCTTTCTCTCTCTCTGTGTGTGTGTGTGTGTGTGTGTGTGTGTGTGTGTGTGTGTGCTTATAGAGGCCATAAGACAATTTTGGAGCCCCTGGAGATGGTGATTATCAGCTGCCTAATGTGAGTGCTGGAAACTTACTTGGGTCCTCTGGAAGAGCAGCAAGCGCTGTTAGCTGCTGAGCCATTTTTCTAGGATTCAGTTCATAGTTTTCTTGTTTTCCGCTAGCTCAATAGTTTTGTCAAAAAGATCATTTGTGTTGAGAACATTATGGTAATTTACATTTTTGTCTGAAAACCATGTGTTTTTGTCAATGTTTCTTTTCTTTTGTAACTGTA